GATAACAAATCAGTCATCCTGTATTCCAACAATAATAGGAGCTCGACTAATTCAAAACTTATTGACATCAAGTTCCTAGTTGTTAAGGAAATGGTACAAAGTGGATAAATTTCCATAGAACACATGGGGACAAACTCCATGATAGCAGATTCTTTTACAAAAAGTCTTTCATCCAAGGTCTTTCATGAGCATACTACTCGCATGAGTGTTTTATTATTAGAGGACTCTATGGTTTAGTCGAAGTTAGTCAATTATGAATTTTATGTTCTGTGTTTGATATTATGTATGCATACTATAATTTTGGATATTTTTCAAATTAATAAAGTTTGATATTTAGCCGTTTATATTTTGTATAATAAAGTTATTGAATGATCTCACTAAAATAAAGTAGGACCATTTGAAAATCGACACATACATACCAACTTTGTAACACCCTTCTAAACCCCACGGATAATATATGAATAATCAGAGTAAATTTCCATGCATTTACAAAAGGGCATTACACATAACTTTCAAAATATCAAAACCACCTGTCATGCTCATTACTATTTCAATATAAAATTATGCTTTACAAAACTTCACTTTGCATGTAGCAGCGGATTCAATTATACCACAATTTTCATAAAAGAAACATTTGTTTTTATCACATAAAACAACATCACTTAGGCACTAAGGCCAACATCATAATACTCCAATGGATATAAACACGTTTATAGAGTACATAATGTATATCTTAAACACAACCGAAGCGATCCCAATGTTACATGACCAGAGCATGACTCGACCCAACATAATTAAATCACTAAACGACTACACCAAAAGCGACCTCGTAACTACGAGCAATACTACTCCTTGATACCTGCACGATGTCATGTAGGACATCATTCCAGCAGAAGGGTGAGAAATATTATCATAATAACAATGCATATAATTATATATACACAAATACACAAGCACAAAATACATATATTCCACATTTTCTCACCACAATTCATTATAACTCATCATGTACAATACAACATATATATATATATATAATCAAATATGGATAATCACCAAGCATATTCATCATGCACGTATCCATAAATCTCAACATTCCACATGAACATACACATATTATGTTTACTCACTAATTCACAATTACACATTCACAATTCTCAAATCAACAATTCATGTTCATAAGCATACTTTCATACAATGATCACATATTCATAACTCTCAATTACACAAGTAATGCACATACGCATATTCCACCATTCTCACCATACTTCATCATAACTCATCATATACTTCACAAAGCATATATATATATATATATATATATATATATATATATATATATATATATATATATATATATATATATATATATATATATATATATATATATATATATATATATATATATATATATATATATATATATATATATATATATATATATATATATATATATATATATATATATATATATATATATATATATATATATATATATATATATATATATATATATATATATATATATATATATATATATATATATATATATATATAGGCAAATATGGACAATCATCAAACATATCCATAGTTCACAATTACACAAGTCATGTACATACACCTATGCATAACTTCATACAACAATCATATATTCATTCCATGAGACTCAATGCAACTCATGCCATGTGGTACCAACACTTGTTATTATTTTTCGGTTTTTACATTTAAACCGGGTCCGTTCCCTAGACCAATAACACACAAAAGCCCATTCCCTAAGCTTTCAAACCCCGCTCTAGGTTTGGGACAAGTCACTAGCTCCCAAGGAACTATCAAGCATTGCCTCTTGACTAAATGATGCATATGCAATCAACAACAAAATGCACTTAAGACCGATCACACGTCTTAATCCCATGCATTCACATAATTCCTCCCTTCAAGAATTAAACAAGATTGCACACACAACATATCATATAATCAAGTATTCATACTTTTCATCAACATATTTGTCAAACAATGCACGCATATCTTACAATATGCTCCCATGCATTAATTCACAATAATCAGATACAACAAATATGCATTCATAATTCAACCTCATTACCTTTTCAAACAATGCACACATATTCACAATACGTTCTCATGCATTCACAATATCGCATACAATCAATATGCATTTACACTTCAATATCATTACCACATTTATCAAGCAATGCACACATATTCACAATATGTTCTCATGCATTCTTCACATACAAACAATATGCATATATTTGTCAAAAGACTATATTTCATAATCGATTCCACCATCTAGGATTCACGCCATACGGCTACCCACAACATATCATATCACAACATGCACAAGCTATACGTTATATAACAAAAGTATTCTGCACAATAACACATCAATCACACACATTCGCGACGGTAAAAATCAACACAACAATATGCTTTTAATTTTCTGCTATAATTGAACTAGGTACATGCCTCAAAGCCATTTTTTCTAGAAAGACAATCTCGTTAACTTACCAACGCTTCGAACGGGGGTCAAAACCGACTTACAGTTCAAGAGTTATGAATTTTCGAAGTTTTCCGAAAAACCAGAATTTTGCCTAAACACGGCTACGGGATCTTGCATTTTCGCCCGAAAATCTGACCGATTCAATTCTTTTTTTCGAAACAAACACATACTCATACTCACCTAACATATAGCAGTGAATTAGAACCATTAAACACGATTTCTACGACGTCCGATTTTCACTCAAATCTCAAACCCTCAATTATCCAAAAATGTCAAAACTCACAAACTCAACCAAATTCAATCAAACGAAATCCAATAATCACGGCTAAACATTACCTGACTAAACTATGCAATTTATTTTGAATTCTAACCGTTCAAAACTCGATTCTACCGATTAAACCATTTATGCCCTAGAAATGGAAAATAGAGAAAACTACCCACAAATCCAACACAACTCATACATAATCATACACATTGATCAAATAATAATGTTTCTCACCCTTAGCTTGATTGGATTGAAGCTTGAAGTTGATTCTTGATGATTTCTTCAAGTTTCCCTCTTCTCTTCTCTTTTCTCCTCTTTCTCTATTCTTTCTCTCCTTTTCTTTCTTTCTTTCTCTTATGTTTCTATCTCTTTTCTTTTCTCTCCAATTTCCCTTATATATCCTTCTATTTTCTTTCCATCATAATTTTTCTCTCAAAAATACCTATCAATTCATTTCTCATAAAATATCTCATCTTATCATTAATTAGAGAATATCTAATAAATCCACATTATTCTACCAAGTAGAATAAATTAATTAAATCCATTAACTCATTTAAATAAATCCAATAATTTATTTAAATCAGATAAATCACATAAACCAATTAATTAGCACAATTAATCACTTATTGAAAAATTGGGCTGTTACAACCTTCATGTGATTTTCATGCTACACATTTCATAATGGATCTATGTCATTTAATTGTGTCACTATCGGTGATCATTGATGAGTTTAGTTATGATTGATATAACAAAATTCACAGTGGTTCTGAATAGTGTCTGATTAATGGACAAGATAATTTGGATATGATTGAAATATGTAATGACAAATTTTGAGTTCATAAAATCTAACACGCGTGTAAAGTTACATGTGACTAGGGGGTGATTGTTAGAATTTTAGGTCACAAGTGTAACATTTAAGGTGTTAGTACCATTATTTTAATTAGTCAAGAGTTAAAGGGATCTAATTAATATAATATTAAGTTTGTGGCTAAAAACATAAATGTCATGAAAGGACAAATTATTGTGTAGATATCATAAGTCAGTATCTAATTTGACAAAGGGATGAATTAGAATATTAAAAACTAAAAAATAATTCTAGGGTTATTTAAATGGGTTATGGTCCCCATTTGTAGAGTGTAATAAAAATACGGTTGATCTGATTTTCTCTATTCATCCCCATTAAAGGAGATTTAAATTTTTTTAAGGAACTCTACAAACAGAAGATTACATATCTGCAACTTTCAACAATTTCAATGCCAAATTTAAGTACGCTTTCGCTTTCATTCTTTAATTGCATTCTATTACGAGTTTAAGGATTTAGTAAATTTTTATATTAATAAAATTATAAGATTATGAATACATCTAACACCTTTAACTCCCACAAATAAGAATAGAAAATCAAAATCAATCATGGAAAATGAAGGTGTTTTGAATCTAGAAAGAGTGAAAAATAGTTATTATAGTTATGATGTTCTAAATCTATAAATCCAATTAAAAAAGATATGGTCTAGTATAGGACAAAGATATAAGTGGAGAAAGATACCAATATAGATATATTTTATTAAATCCATAAAATAGAGATAAAAAAGGATGAAAGATTGAATAAAAGGCAAGTATTTTCTTCGTAAAGGAGAACAAATGTGGTTAGTGTGTGTGAGAGAGAAACGAGGGGGTAAAATGGAATGGTGGTTGTGGTGTGTGTAGTCTAATAAGAGGAAAATGTGGTAGTGTGAAGCATCATAAAAGGATCAATAGGAATTGAAATTGATTTATAACCAAGTAATCAAAGTGATAAGATTTAAACAATATTTGTGCTAGCATACAAAAGTTCCTAATTTAGAAAGAGCTACCTTGAATCCTAGGAAGTACTCGAGAAGCTCAAGGTGTTTGATTTTGAAGGAAGAATACATTCTTATTCTGAGTCTAATACATTTACACATATAAACCTTGGAAAATTCAATGGAAAACGATACATATAACCAAACTAATCTTCAACTTGGATAAGTACATATTCCATAATCAACTAGAGTTTCAAAACCATGAACACAACAAGTACACAACAAAACAAAATCTTAGAGGTAGTGTTCAGTAGTGGATTGAATCAGATCATTTAATAATATTATAATTCATATCAATGTAAATCATACAATATTGGAAGGCAAGAATTAACTACCAACAGAAACATGATATAATTCATTATAAATAAATATCATAACACTACAAAATTACGAGCCGACATTGTTCATTTACTTCATCTTTCAGACGCTCATGAATAAGATTCCGATCAAACCAACAACAACCGTCGTCGGAAGCCTTAGTCCATGTTCCAGCACCTATATAGTAATTTTGACGAGAACTGAAAGTAATTTGCTTAAGCAAAGTTGCCCTCCTCAATAGATGAGTTGCTAACTCAATTACATTTGTGGAGCAAACACAGCCATGTAACTCCACATATTTTAAACCATTGTGAAAAAACCTGACATACTTTCTTCTTCTTTGCCTTTGAGATCCAACATTATGTGATATTTTCTTATGTCCATTTCTAATCTGAAAATTGAATAATAATCATAATATTAAAATACATAATTTATATATTCAATGAAATTGTAGGACTATTTAGAAAAATATGATCCATAAAAAAGGTAAATTGTAACATATTAACAAATGGACAATCGGGTTGAATAACTCACTCTTAGAGAAAGTTTTTGGAGATGCTGAGAAGCCATTGCAATATCTAAAATCCAAAAGTAGTCCATCGTAGGATTATATGCTCCAATAATAAATAATTCCAATTGCCTAAGATTTTGAAGTCGAACCAAACCTTTCTTTAACGCGGATATCTGTTTACACCAGTAAGATTTAAAGTGAATTAAAAGCAATTAAAGGATAAATAACAGATACATAAATATTAACTAGTATGTATGGGTTTTGAGTGACCCACCTGTGAACGGCCTACATTCATAGTTAAATTCTCAACATGATCTAATCTTGCAAATGTACCAAAGTTATTTATCTCTCTAAAACCTGTATCCCAAAAAACCTTCAATAACTTTGGAGCCTCGACAGAGATTATGGGCCTCATGCAAGTGCGAATTCTATATTCAAAGGATGAGAGATTCAAAGCATCAATATCTATCTTATAAGAACCTTCATTCGGATAGTAACAATCAATTATGCTCAAATGACGCAGCTTTGCACTCATAATTTTCATATCACACTTGAAGTAACAATTCTTAAAGGTGACATCTTCAAGTTGGAGACATTTAGAAAACAAATTTGTTATGACATTACTTTTTAGATCTTCACAGAGTCCATCCGACACATCATCCAACACAATTGATGTCACATTATTCAGTCCAGATAAGTTAACAAGATTAGAAATTTTATTGCATCTGTAGTTAAACTGGGATAAGGTATGAGACTCAATGTTTAGTATGTGCAATCTGTATGAATAGTTCCACTTGGAAGAATATTCAATGGATAAGAGATTTGATGCAATGATATCAATTTTCCTCGCCATTGTCCTACTCCTGATACCCCCGCAGTGAATGTTCAAATGAAGCAATGTTGGACTAGTTATTTTTAAATCAGATAGGAACAGACATTGATTAAGAGTGAAGTTCTCAAGATGGATGCAGCTAAAACACAGATCCTGAAGCATATTCTGCTCCACAGGTACTAGAGTCAACACAAGAGTTCTCAAATTCTTCAATCCAGAAAATTCCATAGTTGCTGCTATGTGGCAGTTCTGTAGGTGTAGATATGTGAGAGAATTAGGGCCAGACAACAAAGGAAATAAAAATTTGTATGGCTCTATTTGAATTTTAGTTTTATATGCAAAGAGCAGCTCGATACGATTGGCACCCTTAAGAACTCCATTGTGAATCAATCCATCAATGGCATAAGTATGATCGACACCTAATGGAAAATTTACTCGGACTGAACTGATGGTGTCACCGGGATATTTCTGCATGAAATTATCCAATATTGTGGCAAATTGAGATTGAGCCTCTCGAAGGAGCGGAAGGGTTTTTGGTAACTCCGGCATTGTATTATAATCAAACATGTTATGGAGATCAAAATTGAGATCCTTCCTTAATCCCCATTCGTGATACCATTGTTTGGACAATGCACTGGTTTTCACTAAATTCTTCAAAGTTAACATGGAAAAGATATGAGATATAACACAATCAGGCAACTCGGTTGACTCACTCTTGAGTTTTTTAACTCCATTCATTGTTGCTGCAATGCAAACAATAATGAATTTGAATTAACAGCATATAACCGAGGTATATGTAATTTTATTAGTTAATTTCAGAAAGATAATACAGTAATGTAAAGTTTATATTCCAATTAGAAGATAGAAAAGAAAATTTTGAGTTAGAGGAGTGAACACCACAAACCTTAGAAGTGGCTGTTGTTGACCGGGAGAAGTAGGATTTCTATAAGCCTAGAAAAGAATTCTGAGTAACAGGAATGAACACCACAAACCTCAGAAATTAGGGTTTATATTTATATTAGTGAAAACATTTGAAATCTCCATTCTAATGCTTTAACTGGGCCCCCCTTATGGGTTTTCGCTGGCTGGGGTGCCGATTTATTTATCCCTTTTAATCTCCACTTTTTACTTGCCATGTCATCAAGATTTGTAACACCATAATTTTTATGAATTGCAAATCAACCTATTTACTTCGTTGAGTCTTTTTCATAATGAGGTGCATATTGCCCATGCATCCAATAACGCAACATCAAGAAGACAATTAAGAGAGGAAGTTTATTTATAAAAAAATTAAAAGATGAAGGTGTTTTTTTTTATTATTTTAAATAGCCTTATTTTTTATATTTTAAAATTATCATCTTTCTCAACTATATACCATACTATTTATGTTTTAAATAAAACAATTCAGACCAAAGAACATGCGCCAAACTAATTAGCACATGCTCTCAAAATTGTATTTAGATGTCAGATTAATTCACACATGCATGGAGGAAATAAAATAAAAATGAATGCACATTGATATAAGATCTATTGCTGCATGTACATGAAAAATGCAGATAAGCGCAAATGAAAATGACCCATGCATATATCATTCATACATATGTTGAATGTGAGAAAAATAAATAAGAAAAAAGGGTTGAGTTTGTATATTAAATTTATTTCACTTCTGAAAACAATTTTAAAATTTGAACAAATTCAGAGTCTGATTTCAGAGTTAATAGCAGTAGAAATAATAGAGTTTAAAAGCAATAAGCAAATCTACACACATAGTTTATTCTGGTTTCTCTTCTAAGCAGAGAGTAGTTCAACCCCCTTTGTCGAACAAGAGATTTTTACTATAATTAAACTAATTACACTTTGCTCAAACAAACTCGCAAGAGACTTCACCTGCTCAATTACACAAGAAATAAACTTCTGCTCAAACAATCTAGCTAGAGACTTCTGCTCAAGCACATAGGCAACTTCACAACTCAAGCAAACAACAAAAAACTTCCATTGCTCAAGCTAACTAGCAAAAAAACTTGCTCTACTTTAAACAAACACTTTAGTAGAAAAGATAACAACTATACTTGATGGTCAATTAGAAGTATAGAAGTTGTACAACAACCACAAAGATTCTTAGCTCTCAAGATTTCTAAGATATGCAAAGATAAGAAATCTTAAGAACTTATGCAATAACAGTTACAAAACTTTTGATCAAAGTTATGTTCGATGTTGTTCTGATGTAATGCTATAACCTTCTTTCAAATCTCCAACTCCCTTTTATAGAAGCAGAAAAAGAGTTGTCGAAAAGTGAGTTGTATAAGATTTCTTTCTTAATAAGTTGTCCAAGAGAAATGTTGGAGGATGTATCTAGTTAAGATCATTGTCCATTGAGTAATAACATTGCCCATAACGTCTTTCTCATACTAGGTATCTACCAAAAGGTGGAGACATACTTAAGAGGTCACATCACATTTTCTTAAGCCTTGCACAACGAAATTCAAGTTGAATTTTTCCATAATTTGGCGCTTGACAAAACTGGTATGCTTGGGACACAGAGTAAAGATTAGAGGCTAAACACCTTTAGCTGAGGTCTTTAAAGTCTGAGCTTTCACTAAAGGTTGAGATACCATGATCAGATTCTGATCCTTCAGATGCTAATATATACGTTCAGAGTCACCAGATTCTGATCCTTCAGAATATGAATTACTTTCCTTCTCTACATATGCTTTCAATAAGGTCAATTCAGAGTTGAATTTTAAGCTTATGATCCTGCAAACTTGAACATATGTTAGTATACCCAATTGTTCTTTAATTACTTTGTTATCATCAAAACCAAAGGGATGTGAACAACTTTGTTCCAACATTGTACCCTTTTTTTATGATGACTAACAAAGGTATTTAAGAATAATGGTTGGTTAGTTTAAATATTTTGACAACATCAGACTCTGAGGTTTGTAAACTCCCCTAAGTCTAATAGTTCAAAGGTTGAGTTTTATAAGCTCCCCATTAAGTCCTATCCAAGTTATTTAAACTTAACTTGATTTCATAATAAAGTAATATTCAGATAAAAGAAATAATAATGTAGGTTCATATATATAAAAGTATTCAAATATACTTTTATCCTCTTTAGATATTCCCATGAATTTCACCCCTTTTTGTCATAAAAAGCGAATTAAGACATGTCAGCATAGAGAGAAAAAATATGTGGCAAAATTTAAATTCTAAGAAAAATGACAAAAACAAAATTTGCACTTCCACACACACACACACACATACACACACACACACACACACACACACACACACACACACACACACACACACACACACACACACACACACACACACACACACACACACACACACAGAGATTGGTTGAAATATTTCTTCGATGCTCAAGACGGTCCAACATCTGTCATTCAAGAATTGCAACCATTAGAAGTAATTATTGCAATAAAGAGCTGGAGTACCAAGCATTAAAGATCAGAGATGCTTCAAATTCCATAAGCAACATATGAGACACTTAAGATCCTCTATAAAAGCATAACTCAAAAATATAAATTCCCACATCTTCAACCATTTATTTTTCTTCTTATCAACATGAGCAACCCTTCTGAAGCAACTAAAGTTATTGTCTCCACTGAGACCACTATGGTAAATGAGACTGACACCACCATCGAGCACCAACAGGTAAGGAGTGAGAAATCCCATCCGTATGGGTCAAACACTACCAAAAAGGCCCAGCCTATGAACTTATATTTCTTAGAAATTCATGTAGTCAGAGTATACCTTTGACCATCTTGAAAATTGTGGTTCATATGCTTATCTATCATCAATATTTATATTTATTATCTTTTTGTTGATGACAAAAGGGGGAGAAGTTCATGGAAATATTTAAGGTTAAAATTGTTTTTTAATACTTTAATTCACCTGAACCCTAATTATTCATTATTTTTGTAATGCTTTCTTTTGAACATATTATTTTTATCGAAATAAGTTTAAATTAACTTGGATAGAACTTAGAGGGAGCTTACAAACCTTAACCTATGGACTATTAGACTCAGGGGGAGCTTACAAGCCTCAGACTCTGATATTGTAAGGTTAGTTAAAACTGACCAACCATTGTTCTTAAATACATTTGTTTCTCATCATTAAAAATGGGGAGATTGTTTAAATAAGTTTGTTCATACTCCTTGAGTTTTGATGATAACAAAGTATTTAGAGAACAAATAGGTATATTAACATATGTTCAAGTGTGCAGGATCATAGGCTAAGAATTCATCATGAATTAATCCTGTTGAAAACATAAGTGAAGAAGCAATACTATTCAGGCTATGGGTGATCAGAATTTGAATATATTCATCAGCATCTGAAGGTCCAGACTCTGGTATGTTGTTCCAACCTTTGATTACAGCTCAGACCCGGAAGGCTTAAGGAGCGTCTGATATGTACACTGCATCAAACCTGGACAATTTTGTCATAGTCACAAATTTCTGGATAGAGTCAACTAGGATTTGGTTTTGCAAGGCTCAAGGATGGTGATGTGACCTCTTCAGTATGTATTACCTTTTGGTAGATACCTAATTATCTGAAAGGTGTTATGGACATTGCTTTTATTAAATGGACAATACTTCTCACCGGGTTCAACTCTTCAACGTCTCTCTCGGTATCCTCGTTCACTAAGTTTGTTGTTGTTCAAACCTCCAACGAATTTTTTCTACCTTTATAAAAAGAAGTTGAAGACTCAAAGGAAGGTTACAACATCACAACACATTAAATATCTTGGCTTAAATCTGAGCTCTTATTATAACTCTTACAACATAAAGATCTTAAGATTTCTTATCTTAGATTATTTAGAAATCTTAGAAAGGTAGAAAATTTTTATGATTGTTGCACAAATGTTATACTTATGATTTTGTATCAAAGTATAATAGTTATTTATTATACTAAAATATTTGCTTAAAGTAGAGGAAGTCTCTTTTTGGTTAGATTGAGCAGGAAGTCTTAAATTAAGGATTTAAGCAAGGAAGTCTCATTCTAGGTTGATTAAGCAAGATGTCTCTAACAAGGTTTCTTGAGCAGAAGTCTCTTTCCAGGTTGATTGAGCATACAAGTCTCTTAAAAGTGTGCTTGAGCAATTATAATCTATTTGGTTATAGTGAAAAGCTCATTTTGAGGCAATGAGACTGGACTACTCTTAGTTGAGCAGAGGAATCAAAATAATCTTTGTGTGTTGCTTGAATTTAGTTTTGAACATTTCATTTATGCTTCTATTACACATTCTGATATCAGACTCTGAACGTGGTTCAAATTCTGAAGCTTTAGTTTCAAAAGTGAAAGGAGTTTTTGGCATACACAATTTAAACCCCCCTTCTATGGTTTTTTTTTCTCACCTTCAAGATAAACTAATGTAGATCAACCCTCCAGTAATTTTCTTCCAAAAATTAATGAAATTTTTTTTCCAGTTTGTTTGCAATGATGCTTCATATATAGTTTCTTATTATCATTTGAATGATCCAACCATCAGAGAAGTTTTAGAAACAATTCAACCACTAAAGCTCAAAGTGAACAAAAATGTTGTTAATTTTAACATACGATATAAATATTCCCAAAGAGTATAGCTTAGAGTATACAACACATAAGCAAGATAAAACTAAAAGCAACACAAATACCAAGTAACAAATAAAATCTCAACAACATGCTGACATAAGATAAAATCAGTTAAGATGAATAAAGAAAACACAACAGGTTCT